GGTACAAATATTGTGTACCAAAACGATATGGGTATACTGACCCACAAGTACAAATATTGTGCATCAAAACAATATGGGTATACTGACCCAACATGTACAAATCTACTGTGTAGTGTACCAAACAATAAACAACAGAGGTAACTATGATCCAATAAGTAAATATCTACTGTGTACCAAACCAATAAACAATATGTCAATGAATAACTTTGACTCAATAGGTAAAACCTTGTACCAAAACAATAAACAACTTAAGCAACACTGATCAAATAGCTACATATCAACTTTTTATCAAAACAATAAACTTAAGAGAGTAATACTGATCCCATTAGTACATAATTATAAACTTTGTACAATGTACTAAAATAATCAACCACTTGAGTAACACCGATTCAATTTGTAAGTATCAACTTGGTATCAACAGATTAAACCATTAACAACGCCAACCCAATAAGTACATAAATTATCCACTATGTACCAAAACGATAAACATCTTGAGTAATCATGTAAATATTGTCTACACCAACCAAATTAGTACATATACTTTGACTACATAGTACATGTACGATATCCATTCAATATTTATCAATATACAAAACATGAAATGTTACCTATAAACTTTGTACCAAAACTGATCAAACAATAACGGGAAATTCAAGAAATACCAAAGCATAGTAACTATGTGAACTATGTATATAAAGCTCAGTCCACAACCCTTAAACTCCCAAGAGTGAAAATGAGATATTGGTACCTGTATTCACATGATTACAATACACATTTCTCAACTAACCTTACAAGATAGCTGACATTACCTATTAGATGCCTGTTAAGGAGGGACAGTGTCTTAACAATGCTGCCTAGCTGTTTTACATCATGTTGAATGCAAAAACTTGAAATATGCAAACTATGATAGGTACTTCTCCTTGTAGTTTAACAAAACTAAATAACTTTGCATAAAGTTGCTAACTTAAAAGCTTACACCATAGAGTATACATGATTTGAGTATTAAACAATGCCTTTGAATAATTGAAAGTGATAACTTATACACAAAAAACTATTTGGAAACCCCAAGTTTGTTATGTATAATTGTAAATCACTTATAAAGTAACATAATACTTATTACTAGCCTTCGTCCTCAATTACATGGGAAGGCAAACTCTCTCATGCACGCGGTGAAGCAGCACAGGTGTACGCCGGCTGGACCTAAAACGCCCAAGTCGTTGAGGTTCAGGGTCTCCCGCTGTGGCCCCAGCTGTGAAATAGCGATGCTTGCAGCAGATACTTGCAAGATGTTCGTTATCTATCACAACTCTTTGTTGATCAAACTCTGTGTCCACTGATCATGGAGATCGATATAGAGATAATAATCATTAAAGGTATCCATTTGTTTCGTTTAACCAGTAACAAATAGCTTACTTTGAAATCCTTTCAAAACTCAGACTGTAGGAAAAAGTTCCACGTTTGATGTCGCAATAAAATTAATAGCTCCATGAAATATGTTCTTCTCATGAATATCTGCTTATAAATAAAGTTCATATCGGCAGAGAAATACACCAAATGTATCATACAGTAATCAGGTAATGTATATGATAACCCCGCACCTATTATGTACCACCGCATCAGTAAACAATAAACCAGAAACTCCACACGTTCTTGTAAACGGCACTTTATAACATGGACAATATTTTGTTCCTTTCAATTCTTTGGAATTTCATCTCGACAGAAAGCCAGAGCACGTTCAGCTAAGTTAAACAATCACAGACGTTGTAACAAAACTTCAAAATAGACGTGCCTCGTTTTAGCTTCGGCAGCATGCGGGTTATCACAATACAAATGAATGACTCGCTGAGCTGACCACGCGACCTTACACCTTCTATCACACGTAATCCATCAACCAAGGCGTGGATCAAAGAATTTTCACATTTTACCAAAATTAATCCTACCGGAAACCTCCAACTAAGTTATCGCATTAAATACATAAATACAATTATTATTCTAATAATTGTTGTTTAACTAGAGAAGCAAAGTAAAAACTTTGAAACTTTGATTTGCTATAGTGAAAACTATAGTGGAACGTCGCAAACCACGGTTAAAATGTACGATCCTCTCCCATTCTGGCTGTAGTTGCATGAGACGAAAATATTTTGTAGCTCATTAAAGTATTAACCAATGCAAGTAGAGCATAGTCGGACCTTTCATGCGACCTTTCAATACCCATTCGCTGTGAGCGAATTACTTCTAATGAATACTAATATTAATAGAGAGGGCCTCTCTTGTACCGAAAAAAGAACTATAAATTTAAATCTATTTCATTTTAATATTAGACAAATGTAAACGTAGTCTTACATATCGAAAGAAAAAAAACTACAAATGAAATATGCGTCATTTAGAATTAAAAAAAAAGCAGCCTCTTCAACCTCAATCAATATGTATATTGTAATTTGATGTATACTAGAATTCAAAATTGATTCTAAAATAATCATGCAACAGCGATGTATTCAAGTAACACTGCTCACAAATAAAGCATAAATGAACCTTTTTCTCAAAACAATATATATTATTCTATGTATTACTTGTATTCTTTGTTATATATCCTTAAACATAAGTTGTTAATATAGGTGTCTCTCCTTTTAGGAATTTGGAGAAACGAAGCATATTAAATATACAATAGTGAAAATTTCGATACGTATATCTGAAACGTTAACAGGAATATTTGTTAAACTGTATCAAATCTAAAATACAAAGTTTCGATAAAAACATTCAAATATAATATACATGTATATATATATATATATATATATATATATATATATATTTCAGGTTGACTATTCAAATCATTGTATCAAATTAAAAGGAATTTTATTGCTTGTTTCCTTCTGTATTTTCAGTAAAAAATGGTTATTTTAAAGGATTTGAATATCATTTTATTCATCCCTTTGTTTGTATCTCTTTCTTCCAGCTATCTGACTACCTGTCTCTTAAACGTCCGGGGCTTAAAGACATTCCCTTGACTAGACAGAAAACACAGTAAAACTTCAATTATTACCATTTATATAGCACAAGGGCATATATAGATATTTTGACAAGTGACACCTCATTGTTCAGGAAAGGTGGATTTGTGTTACTTTTAGATATTACAAGCGATTTCTAAATTTTATAGCATTAAGGGTTGCAACTGCAACGCTTAATGATACACTAGTGTGTATCATTAAGCGTTGAATATGTCGATATTTGCTTGTTTCATTTAGCGTCGATGTTGCTTGGATATGTACTTACTCCTACAACTTTACACCGACATCAAGGATAACATCAGCTCATCTCGACAAACAAGGTAAGCCTACAAAAACATGGTTTTTGAGCACGTTAAACATTTTGGAGCAGGTCCCGTTTCGAAGTAACTACATGAATAAATTCTCCAAACTTTCATGGGTCTATTCATCTGAGGGTTTACACTACTGAATTTGCTACGGATGCTGGATCTGATCTACATTTTCTTGATGAGTTAGCAGGTTAACGTGTTTGCAGCATGTTCATTTTAAAGTAACTATGTATGTTGAATCTCGACCAAACTTGTATGGATGATACATCTAAAGAATGACCTTGGATGCTGGATTTGAACTACACTTTCCAGATGAGTGACTTGAAGATATCCAAAAATATTACACTACACCTGACTGCAGGGGGTAAAATATTTTGAAGAAACAATGTATGTATTCTTGCTTGATTAATTAGGATCAATCTTTCATGGACTATTTTCCCAATTGTGAATCTTGTATAACACGTACATTGAAATCTTTAGATTTCATTTCAAGGGACTCTTTTTAAGAACCATGTACAATGATGAATCATTAAAATATGTTTATCGGAACAGTTGAAAAAATTATATAGCGTTAAGAAAAACATATCTAAAATATTAAATTTGTTTAGTTTAATTTTTAACTAGGCTTTTCTGAGAGCAAATTTCCATGCAATTTGGTACAAGATCACAGCTATAGAATTTTATCAATATACAAATATCATATGAAAGGATTGTGTACAGAAAATATGTAATAAGTGTGGTTTATCAAATGTATGGTACGAAAAGGCTGTCAATATGAATTGTAAATGGATACATGCCACTGTGAAACAAATATTACAAGAACAGTTTATTCAAAAGTGGTCTAGTGACGTAAATAACTCTTCAAAAGGACAGATCTACAAAATATTTAAACAAAACTTTGGATTAAAACGTTATATTGATAGGTTATCTCCTAAATTTAGAAAAATATTTATAAAATTTCGTACTGTAAATCATCATTTACCGGGACTGGAAGATGGCATGGTATACCACTGTGTGATAGAATATGTAAACTTTGTAACAGTACTCAAACTGCTGATGAATTTCATTATCTATTAGAACATAAAACTTTTGCCAATATTATAGAAAAAAATACCTGGGTTATTATTATTCACACAGACCAAATGTTATCAAATTTATGGAACTAATGTCAACGGAAAGCGAGAAAATGTTGAAACAGTTATGCATGTTTATTTTAAAAATTTAAGATGCTGTCTCTCCTCCTTGATATATTTTCTTTCTCATTTTATCAAATTCTTTGCTCCTTTATTAATTTTATATTTTACGCTGTTGTTATATAGAAATTATGTACCTCCGACCAGTTTGTATATATTTTGTATATATGTTATTTGAACCCCATGTACCAATCATGGTTTGGGTGAATAAAATGAATGAAAAATGAATGAAAACAGTTGAGAAAATTAAATAGCGTTAAGAAAAACATTAAATATTAAATTTGTTTAGTTTAATTTTTAACTAGGCTTTTCTGAGAGCAAATTTCCATGCATTTTGATACAAGATCACAGCTATAGAATTTTATTATTATACAAATATCATATGGAAAGATTACAATATGTTACCAAATTGTAGTCTATCACGCTATGTATTAAATACATAAGGATATAAAAAAGAGAAAAGCAGCATCTCCTACCACCGTGAACGTACTGCATGTACTCGTGTTGAAAAATCTAAGCACTAAAGCAGGTAAGAAATCTTACTTTTGTGAAATAATTTTGTTGATGTAACATAAAGGAAAATTTAATTTATCATAAAATATGGTGTGTAAATATCTTTAGAGGATTGCAATAATTATTGTTCCAAAAAGACTAAAGTAATTATATAAATATAGCGTTTTGATGAGATCGATCGATTGAATGATATGGATTAACCGAATTAAAGGGTTACATTTGTTATATTTTTTTTTTACATAGACTTTAAAACATGGGAACAGTGCACATTATTTCTCTCTCCAACACTTAGATAGAGAAAAAATTGAATTAAATAAATAAATATGTTTTTAAAATGTAATTGTGTTTCCTTTATATTGATGGTGTAATATATAGGATCTATTTATTTAAAATACTACATTTATGTGATTATGTTTTGTATGCATTTTTGTCAAACATCCAATATGTTTTAATAGAAAGAATAACCTAGTTCAAGGCATTGCCACGTCTCATCAATTACAGACCATTAAAAAATATATTAATACAAGTTGAGGTACACATTTTTTTCTTTCAGAAATATCATATCAAGTCACACACTGTATTATCTATAATATACACTTATCCACTGGCTGTGAGTGGGATAGCTCTTTTATCAAACCCGTGACAGGAACTATTCCCCGAGGGCTTGCCCGAGGGGAATAGTTCCTTTCAAGGGTTTGATAAAAGAGCTATCCCACTCACAGCCAGTGGATAAGCGTTTTATTATACTGATGTACCTTGTTTTGTAGTAATATTTGAATTGAAAAAAAGCAAAATGTCAATTTCAAGTAACATTTAATTAAAATTTTAAAAAACAAGAAATTTTTAACAGTTAAATCAAATGACGTTAACATAATAAAATTTACTAGGTATAATTAACTCAACATTATTCATGACACAGTAACATTGATCAACACTTTTTCTTCTGCACTTGATTTTAGAAGGGGAGTTTACTGTTTATTTGTGTAAATGTTAATGTTGACAGTAGAATTGTGTATGTTGACCCCACATTCAGTGTTTTTTGCAGAGGAAGCTGATGGAGCGCTTTGTACACTTTTAACATTGTGTAGTTCGAAGTTTTCTAATCCTGCAAAAAATGTGTCGACATCAAAATCATCTAAGAAATCAATCTGATTCTCCTGTACACCAGAGTCACTGCAAGCTGCTGCATTAGAATTTCCATAGGAATTTTTAGAACTTTCACAAAGTATTTTCGAAATTTCAAATTGTTTCTGGTCACTCAACCTCGTAGAGTAAGACATAATACTAGATATATTTTTGTGACCAGATATTCCAACTATATGTCTTGCCTCAATTCCCTGCCTGTCAAGATTTGTTATGCACGTGGCTCGAATACAGTGATTGGTATATATTGTAGATAGTTCAGCACTCTTACTAATATTGGATATCATCGCCGCAAGCGTATTTTTTCCAAGGGGAATGTTGTCGAACCAAACCGACTGCGTTTCTGATACGGATGATTTAGGGCGCTGCCATAGATTTGGGTTATCAGGATTCAACTTCACGATATACTTCATGAAACTATTCACAGGGCAACGGGGATTTCCTGTTAAAAAATAAACATATTTAAATTTGCATGTATAAATATTTAAATAATTTTTTTCTTTGATTATCAAAAAGATACAAATTGACAAGTGCACAAACCTGGCATTTCATACATCCGGGCTTGATTTGTTTGGTCGTCCGTGAGATCGTCCCCTCTATGATTTTTCTCCTCCCTATGTTTGACTTTGCACACATATCTTTTCCCCTCTGGATCTGTTCTCACTGAAAAATCTGTTTTTTGAAAGCTTCTCAAGTTCTCCTGACCACGGTTACAAAAATAGTAAACTATCTCGAAGAATGTTCTGTTTAACAGCCCCAAAGCTGTATTCAGAGAAAATGCTTCGCTTTAATAAAGTTTGTTTAGATCTTCTGTTGGGATGGTTTGTTTATCTTTTACCTCGGGTGCTCCCTCGCGCTTGATCTTCACCAACATAGCTTTAAAAACTTCGTTGCATGATTTAAACTCATCTGAATTAATGATATCCACTGATGTTTTCTTTAAAAAATGTTTTTGAAGTCCAAACCTCATTGTTATTAATGATTTCCTGGCATAGTAACTTCCGTCGGGTTTTCTCAGTTCAGCGTAAAATTTCTTCAGTTTTTCGGACATCTCCACAATCGACAATTTTCCCATATCCTCGAGGCTTAATTCATATTTTTCAATAAGGTAGTCTTGTAAGGGCTTCAGGGCGGTTTTCACCACCTTTTGGGTGTTCTTACTATCCCTAGATTGTAAAAGTGCGTCAATATCGGCATCGTCATAGGCCTCGTATCTACTCCCAGACGACATTTTGGGAACTCTCTACAGTTGGAACTCTTCAGTGTTGGAGGAATCGCCGACCAATCAAATTACAGGAAATGAAAATTGGCGCTAAAATTTGCACGAAAAATTTCCGAGGGGTGGGTAGCAAAAACTATACCCCGGGGGTATAGCTTTCTATGCGGGGAAGTTTTCAGACTATTAAAGATAGTTATTTTACCTTCTGAACTTTAAATAGGAAACATTTTAACAGAAGTATAATAATTAGTACTATTTTTGTTTTTCAGAAAATTATCTCCATTTCAAGAACCATGAAGTCGATATGCATTTCATATTATATAAATTCTATAATTCAAGTCTATGTGCTGTTAAATACTTAATCATGTGATCAAGTTAAAGCTAATCAGGAAGCTTAGAATAAATAATAAAAATATAACATTCTTTTTATTCTGGAGAGGGATGTTAAACAGTATACAATCAATCAATCAATCTTTTTATGCTCCCGGATCGAAAGATCCGAGGCGCATATTGTTTTTGTCCTGTCTGTCTGTCTGTTTGTCTGTTTATCTGTTTGTCTGTTTGTCTGTGTCACAGATTGTCGAGCGGATTCACCTTTTACAAATTTTAAATATAACTCGAACTATTGTTTCTGTCTTACTATTTACATATTTAATAATTCATGATAAAAATGTACAAAGTCATTGTGATTGCTGCTGTTGTCCTGGTGACCAGTTGCGCCTCTTGCTTTCCCCCTCACAGGCTGGAGGATGGACTATAGGTTCCAAGGGTGGCGTCCTATATACTTCACTCCAAGGGCACACTGGGCAACCTCACTGTCGTACACCAACTTTGACGTATGGCTGGAACCTGCTCCAACATATACACATACTTTTACTTACAATCTCTAGGGGCTTTACACAAATATACTTTACACTCATTATACGATCATAATGAACACGTCTTAGATAAGACTCAATTACGTACACTCTTGAGAAGTTAAAATTATACGTACAACTTCTACACAGATGCAATATTACGAATTTCTACATTACGGACAAACTATTATGACAGCAATTGTACACCGTACTTTTAAATAGTCAAATACGTGTTACTAAATATATACAAATCAAATTAAACGAAACATACATGCTAAAAATGATGAGAAATACGGTTACTGGATGTTTTAGGACAATTGAATGATACTTTACACTGTAAATAACTAAAATAAAAATATAAACGACCTTACCTCAGAAAAGCTGGACCATAGCCTTCTTTTTAAGAAGAATGGAATGCCAGAGAAAGCTCTGCAAGTTTTACTCAGTATATACAAAATATAAATGCTGGATATTCAGAACAAAGTTTTACGTGAGAGGGGTAAAATCGTCCTCCTCTCTGGACTGCCGTGTCCAAACTAACTTGCACGGTCTGGCGGGTTTAAAGGTCCAGTGAATTGAGGTTCCCTACAGGAAATTTACAGTGAAAACATGTCTAAAAACAAAGGGGTTCCACACGGGATATTTACATAAAATTAAATTACTGTAACAAAATTATGATTTGGGGATTTTAATGTGACAGTCTGCAAACTTTAACCTTCGCTATAACTTTTGAAGCATTAAAGATAGAGACTTCATGTTTGGTATACATACTTCACTACGTAAGTTCTTTCAAATGACACAAAGGTCAATGATCTTGTGAACTTGACTGTGTCCTAAATGCTAAGAATAGCTTTTATGAACATTCCTCATATCTTTTGAACAATGAGAGATAGAGACTTCAAATTTTATTTGCATACTCCACTTATTAAGTTCTTTCAAAAGACACCAAGATCAATGACCTGTAACCTTGACTGTGACCCATATGCTAAAAATACTTTTTTTCTGCAAACTTTAACCTTCGCTATAACTTTTGAAACATAAAAGATAGAGACTTCATATTTCATATGTATACTTAACTAATTAAGTTCTTTCAAATGACACCAAGGTCAATGACCTTGTGACCTTGACTGTGTCCTATATGCTAAAAATAGTTTTTATGAACATTCCTCATATCTTTTGAACAATGAGAGATAGAGACTTTAAATTTTATTTGCATACTCCACTAATTAAGCTCTTTCAAAAGACACCAAGATCAATGACCTGTGACCTTGACTGTGACCTATATGCTAAAAATATGTATTTTAACTTTGTTGCCGCCGGGCGCATATTGTTTCACAAACACATCTTGTTTATACCTTATCTGTAAATGAAGAAAATCCATTTTAGCCCTAAACTTTTTAATTATCATGAAATTGGATTTAAAAATGGCTTATGGACCTTCCTGCATTTTTACAAATATTTATCTAAAATATTTAGAGTCATAATATCATTTCTTTCTTGATTGTTAATCATCTTACAGTATGCAGTTCCTAGGATTTGTTGTGGGATTGAGCATGATCCTTGGGAAAATAGCTACTGAGAAGGTATCACCACGGCCAGGACTGAAATCCTTCAGGGACGACTATGACAGTATAGCCAAAACATGTGTGGCTGTTGGATATGTCAAAGATCACTGCAAAAGCAACTCGGATAGAAGTAAGTTTCAATGAATTATACATGTTATATATTAGATTATTGCAAATAATTTCATTTATGTGACATGTTCTTGTTGTATTATGTTATTATAAAACAGTGTCTGTATTGGACTTAGTTTTATACTAAGTAGCTATTCGGTTCCTTTTTTGAACTAATTTTACCCTTTTCCACGTGATCATTATTGATCCGTTTACCAAACGAGAAAGCATGGTTTATTGAACTGCTGAATTTTTCGAATTTATACCATATTTCCCAAAGAAAATCCTACAACTTTTGTTGTGATGCCATTTTGAAGATTTCGGACGATGTGATCTGCTTGTTATTTGCAGAAAAACGTCTGTAAAGTGAGTTTTTGTTGCGAAATCGGCCTTGTAAAATTTACATGCGGGCATTAAGCATGCTGAGGAAGTCGCAATTCAGGACGACCAAAATACTTTACATGCGATTCTTACATGGATATTCTATTACTACGAGTCGTCTGGGGAATAATATGGTCAACTGAAGTAAATTTGGTAAACGATCGATAAACAGTGTCAGTGTATCTACAGTGGTGTAAAATATGTAGTAAATAATGTCGGGCTCGAGATCCCGAAAACTCTTACATGAACTATGTCAGCTGTAAACATAGACCCTTCGCTGTAGGTCTCTGCTGTAAACAATAATATACAATTACATTATAGACCTGACAGTGTATAGACTTTTTCCCGGGAGGTTTTTGCAACTGGCCGTCAGTGATTCACCTACATCGTTAATCCTAACACCGTGATCAGGCCTGGAGATTTTATCAATCACACCGGTAACTTCATTCCTTTAGGAACTTTTGCCTATTTACGGTGATTTGCAATTTGCTGAGCTTAGAAAATGTGCATCTATGTAATAACATCATTTTTATTAACTGTCCATCCAAAATATCACAAGACAGTTTGCTTCTTACATTCACCTTGGCCGGGGAATAAGAACCTGTTTGTTACAGTGGAAACCTTTCACTTCTTCAAGGACTTGAATGTCAGAATCATCTACACAAACCAGATATTGATGAGTGAATATAAACAGCTCAGCAGTGACGAGTGTTACCTTTTTACAAGTTATGAGATCTCCATTGATGCTGATGTAGTATTCACTTTACACTCCTGCATTCCCAGTATAAAACAGGCCAGTATAGTATAGTACTTCTGATGAAGTCATGTGTTATCCATTAAAATTAAGTTAATTAGCTCATAATTAAAGGCTAAAGTTTTTTGGTTCCTTATATAATTTTGCAATATTTTTACATATACAGGTATTATACTTGGTAACAAATTCTGCTTTTCCTTTTAAGAGTTTGAACAATGAATGATCTTACTCAAGTTTACTCAAGTTGTTCATGGAGCCAAAAATATTGTTTGGAGTTAGTTGCCTATATGATGTTGGTAAAATATTGTCATTATATGGGTACACAAATCGTGTATGATTCAAATTTTCAATTGTTGAATCAAGATATAGTGTACGTGGGACCACATACACATTTATCACATAAACTGTGCAGGTCATAGGCACAGCTTGTATATAGGTAGAATGATTTACATGATTTAATGCTGATATAGTATTGTTGCTAAGGGTGCACACCATAGTTTCAGGTGACCTTTTACTGAGAATTAGTGTAGAGTGAGGTCCACATACACTACTTATGTTTACCATGCAAACCCACCACTGATTTACACGTTATGTTGTATTTTATGATTGTGAAGGACCATATTCACATTCATTTCACTGACACATTTGGTTGACTCTTGTAGGAACATATACGCATATTTTGTGGACATGTGCAGAACAATATGCATATGTATTTTGTTGACATGGACAAGACCATGTGCACATGTATTACCTTTTGACTCATGAAAGATTATATGCACATGCATTTTGTTGATCTGGGCAGAATTATATTCACATGTATTTTGTCGACTCATGCAGAACCATACATAATTATGCCAAATTGACATACATTTTGTTTTGTTGACTTGTACGCAACCATATGCACATGTATTTTGTTGACTTAGTCACTTGTGCAGGACCATATGCATATGTATTTTGTTGACTTAGTCACTTGTGCAGGACAATATATGCACATGCAAGTTGTTGACTCATGCAGGTCCCTATGCACACATTTTTGATGACTTGTGTAGGACCATATACACATGAATTTTGTTGAACTTTGCAGGGAAAAATGTGCAGGATCAGATGCACTTGTGTTTGTTGACTTGTGTAGGACCATATGCACATGTATTTTATTGGATTGTGCAGGACCATATGCAGAGTAATGCACTTGTGTTTGTTGATTTGTGTAGGACCATATACACATGTATTTTATTGGATTGTGCAGGACCATATGCACAATAATGCACTTGTGTTTGTTGATTTGTGCAAGACCTGCATGGTAGTATATTATGACATGCAAATTTTGAAGTGCTTTTTTGGTAATATAATGTTATAATGAGAATAATTTATGCTGCATATATGTAGACATATTCTCATGTTGGAATTTACATAACCTGTTATTCCCTGTTGATTTATTGCAGCTGTGCAATACCCAAAGTAAAATAATTATGTCATTCTCTAAGAATTTATCTTGCATGTTCTGATTGTTCAGTTGTATAGGACATGGCTTAAAATATTGATTTAGATCAGAGCACTTGATTGAAAAAAAAAAAAAAAAATGAATATCATATACTGGATAGTAGTTTACACTTTTATTTTTCCAGAGTTACCTATCCCACCAAATTAGAAACAGACACTATCCACACTGGGTAACACTTGCAGAAACTATATGGGCCATGTGGAAACAACAGTCAGAAATCAGATATGCATGCACAGACAACACAACAGTGGACAAACAAGTGCCCATTACCAAGGACATTGCCTCAACATAGCAAAGTATTGTTTTATTTTGGGTGATGTATTGGTTCATGTTTCTGGAGACTGCTCTGTCAACAAGTCCATTGAGTAAGATAATATCAGGATAAAATGGTTTTTCACTTAATTCAATAGTTTCTGCAAAAAAAAAAAAATATATATATATATATATATATATATCCTAATTTTGAAATAATGATTTTTATACACTTCATGTCTTTTATCAGTACATGAAGCAAACTTTAGTCAATTCTTCTGAAACAGGGGTTAGCAGGGCCCAAAATTTTAAATTCCAATCACTTTAACTCAATTATGCAGCAGGGCCCAAAATTTTAATCTAAAAACTAACCTCATTCAGGATAAAGAGATTCATTTGAATATTTCAAAGCTTTGATCAAGATCTAGTAAACTGAAAGTCATATCAGAGGGATATTTACAAGTTTTATGTCAGATAGTACTAAACTACCTAAAATAAAACTTTCTAGAAATCAAAGAAGACTTAGGGTGATCATAGGATCATCAATAATATATATATTTTTAGATGGAAAAAGAAAGAAAATGGTAAAATCACAGGTCCTTTAAAAGAAACACATTTTGTGAAATCATATCTTCTATAATAGTTGTTCTACAAAATATGAAACAAAGGGTGAACACAGTTCATGGATCATCTCTATAATCAATCTCTGCAGAGCTCAGTAGCCGTCGAGCGGGACCATACGTTTGACAAATGCAAATTACTGTAGCATAATGGTATCCTAATGAGGATTTACTGTCATACAGGAAAAAATACATGCTTATTAACCCTGCAATTTCTATTGATGATGCTTTTAAGCTTATGCATTCGATTGTTGTATGCAATGTTGTTTCACTATACATGGGGCCATACATGTTAAGAAAGTTGCATCACTTGGTATATGGAATATCTCAGTTAACACAGGACCATATGTGTTAAGTTGTTGCATCATGTTGTATATAAAAATATTTCTCTAAACACGGGACCATACGTGTTTAGAAAGTAGATGTTTTGTACATGAAATGTTTGACTAAACACAGGACCATATACATGTTTAGTATGTTACATCATGTAATAGATATTGGCTAAACACAGGACCATATGTATTTGAATAGTTAGATCATCTTGTACATGGAATGTTTCACTAAACACGGGACCATACGTGTTTAGTGGGTCACATGTTCTAAATGGTAGACTAAACACGGGACCATACGTGTTTAGTGGGTCACATGTTGTAAATGGAAGACTTTCTAAACACGGGACCATACGTGTTTAATGGGTCACATGTTGTAAATGGAAGATTTTCTAAACACGGGACCATACGTGTTTAGTGATTCACATGTTGTAAATGGAAGATTTTCTAAACACGGGACCATACGTGTTTAGTTATTCACATGTTGTAAATGGAAGATTTTCTAAACACGGGACCATACGTGTTTAGTGGGTCACATGTTGTAAATGGAAGACTTTCTAAACACGGGACCATACGTGTTTAATGGGTCACATGTTGTAAATGGAAGATTTTCTAAACACGGGACCATACGTGTTTTGTGATTCACATGTTGTAAATGGAAGATTTTCTAAACACGGGACCATACGTGTTTAGTGGGTCACATGTTGTAAATGGAAGACTTTCTAAACACGGGACCATACGTGTTTAATGGGTCACATGTTGTAAATGGAAGACTTTCTAAACACGGGACCATACGTGTTTAATGGGTCACATGTTGTAAATGGAAGATTTTCTAAACACGGGACCATACGTGTTTAGTAATTCACATGTTGTAAATGGAAGATTTTCTAAATACGGGACCATACGTGTTTAGTGGGTCACATGTTGTAAATGGAAGACTTTCTAAACACGGGACCATACGTGTTTAATGGGTCACATGTTGTAAATGGAAGATTTTCTAAACACGGGACCATACGTGTTAAGGAATTTATACCACTTTGTTTATGCTATATGTCACTGAGCACGGGGCCATACGTGTTGAGGCAGTTTCATTACTTTAAATATACACAGTATTTATTAATTTATTTGAAATGTCTCTTGCTGACATCAGTTACCAATAGTATATCAGAGCGTTATACCATATGTATGACATTATCTGTATTGTTTGATTCCGCCAAGCCAAGCCAGAAGTTGTCTGTTGGTTCCTTATACCTATCCTCACAAATTTAAACCCTCAGTTTGGTAATCTGTTTTTCCTCTCGAGTGGTCAGAAGTTGTCTGCAGTTAAGAGGAACATTTTTATAAGTTTGACATCTCGGTTGACTGGTCAGAAGTTGTCTGCAGTCATGTGACACATTTTATGCAGCATGGTGTATGTTTGACACCTTTGTTGACTGCTTCGGAAGTTAACTGTCTGCAGTCACGAGGCATATTTTTATGTCTATGCAGCATGGTGTATGTTTAGCAACTTTGTTGACTGAACAAAAGTTGCCTGCAGTTAAGAGGCACTTTAAGGCTGCATGGTGTTTGTTTGATACCTTTGTTGACTGGTTAGAAGTTGTCTTTAGTAAAGAGGCACATTTTGATGCAGAATGGTGTAAGTTTAACAACTCTGTTGACTGCAGCATGGTGTATGTTTGATACCTTTGTTGACTGGTCAGAAGTTGTCTGCAGTCAAGAGGCATATTTGATGCAGAATGGTGTAAGTTTAACAACTTTGTTGACTGCAGCATGGTGTATGTTTGATACCTTTGTTGACTGTTCAGAAGTTGTCTGCAGTCAAGAGGCACATTTTGATGCAGAATGATGTAAGTTTAACAACTTTGTTGACTGGTCAGAAGTTGTCTGCAGTTGACAAGGTCATTGTCCATGATTATAAATTCCCATCTTGCTGTCTGGTTAATATTTACTACAGACAGGTGTTTTGTACACTTTTTAAACTTATTTGATGTTTTGCCCTTTGTAATGTTTTCACTCAGTCTTATTGGATGTTTCTTTTTCTTGTTCACAATAACTATTGTATTGTCTTTTGAACTGAGTATATGTCAATTAAAAAAAAAAAAAAAAAAAAAAAGAAGATGTTTAAATGCTTTTGTATTAATCATCCTGTTGAGGAATTTTGCGTCTCCTGCCAAGACGCCTTTGGGTGGGTGGATCCAATCTCTGATTGGATTGTGGCTGTTTGTTATTTTGTTTTCCCACCTTTTTTGATGACAGGCAGCAGTTTAGAGCATTTTGTATATGTCTTCCAAACTTATGATGTTTATAAGGGGGTCAACTTAAAATGCATGTATATTGTACCTTGTGAAAGATTACAGGGTTGGAATTATTATTCTAGTCTGGTTGACCCCCCTTTTGCCTATGTACATCATGTTACAATGTCATTATGGTGCTGGGGGTCAGATTGTGTAATATTTTGACTAAGATGTGTAATACTCTATATTTGAGTCCTCCTTTTTCTGACCCCCAATTTGTTAAATGTGTTTTACTTTTCCGTCATTTACTTTAATAAATGACATATTTCACTTCAGCATGATGTTATTTGTTTTTGCCTGTTTATCAAAAAACAAGCTCAGTCGTTTGGCAGGAGAACTAAGGAACATAAAATAGTAATTATTGCAAATAATTTCATTTATGTGACATGTTCTTGTTGTATTATGTTATTATAAAACAGTGTCTGTATTGGACTTAGTTTTATACTAAGTAGCTATTCGGTTCCTTTTTTGAACTAATTTTACCCTTTTCCACGTGATCATTATTGATCCGTTTACCAAACGAGAAAGCATGGTTTATTGAACTGCTGAATTTTTCGAACCCACCATCCACCCCTTCTGCCACCAATGCTTGTAATTTCTTTCAGGTTGATATTTTTGTTGTTATGTTTTACCAATCCTTTTTGATAGTGTTTGAATGGGTTTAAAAGAGATTTATAGTACTTATTTCTACCGCAGGTTCTTACTGAACAAGTAAACTTTTTGTACATTGTAATAAATGGCAAATCCATGTATTAGGTTACTGAGAATGAGTCCGACATTTATTTTGTGTACCTCGCAATTTTGCTTATGTCTGCAGGTTTCCATATGATTTTTCAGCATAAAGCAGTGTGGCTTTTTATATATGGTTTTTCCTCGGCGGTGAGAGAAACATAGTTGTGTTCAATTTAATGCCTGCGCGATTGTATTGTTATTGGCTGTTTGTTATTTTGTTTTCCCACCTTTTTTGATGACAGGCAGCAGTTTAGAGCATTTTGTATATGTCTTCCAAACTTATGATGTTTATAAGGGGGTCAACTTAAAATGCATGTATATTGTACCTTGTGAAAGATTACAGGGTTGGAATTATTATTCTAGTCTGGTTGACCCCCCTTTTGCCTATGTACATCATGTTACAATGTCATTATGGTGCTGGGGGTCAGATTGTGTAATATTTTGACTAAGATGTGTAATACTCTATATTTGAGTCCTCCTTTTTCTGACCCCCAATTTGTTAAATGTGTTTTACTTTTCCGTCATTTACTTTAATAAATGACATATTTCACTTCAGCATGATGTTATTTGTTTTTGCCTGTTTATCAAAAAACAAGCTCAGTCGTTTGGCAGGAGAACATTTAAGGAACATAAGGCTTTTCGGTACGATTAAGATCCCTCACTGTTCAATGGCCCTGAGTGCCGAGTATAGGTCAAAATTTGAAGCCCTTCATCGGCATACGGTAACGTCTCCATATGAGTGAAAAATTCTCGAGATGGACTTGAATCATTACATTACATGGTACACTGTATAATGCATCAAGAAAACAGGAATGAACAACTCTAATCTATTGAAATAATTAATTATGGATAAGGATTCGTAAAAAAGCATCAATGCATGTATTTAGCATATGTTAAGTACTTTAAAAATGGAAATGAAGACTTTGGTAACTAATTGTAACTGCAAAAGAAGGTAATATATGCTGGCTATAAATCCTTTTGCTTCCTGGAAATAAAAAAGCAAAGGGTGAAGATAACAAAGGAAGGTTGATAAAAATGATCTAGAAGCAATAAAAATTGTGAAAAGGTCTTAAAACAAACATGGACCTCTGGAAATTCCATAGGTGCATGGACATACTTAAGAGAAGTAAGCAT